CAAAGCAATTCATAAAGAAACATGAAGAAGTCTTTTTCCATTAATATATTTTATTCTACAAACGTTGCTCATCATATAGCCAATAAAGCCTTGTTTGCATCGGTGTTCAACTACGACCATCCCATTCAAAGCATCCCGCATATTTGTCCATTCTGTGCTGGGCTCTACAACGTCTACATAGTCAATGGGGTCATGGGGCTCGGGGTTTTGGGGCTCATTCATCGTAGAGTCTCCCTCATTTTCCATAGGGTCAACACTCATGGTGGTACGGATGAAGTTTGGAAGAAGACAACATGCGAGTATAATTTTATTTTGAGTGTCTATATTGAAATAAGTTTTGCTCCTAAGGACGGCCCATCGCATCTTTAATACTCCAAAAGCCCGCTCGATTACATTTCGCGCTCTAGCATGTCTTAAGTTAAACAGCTCTCTGTGGTTCGTAGGCACTCGGGTACCCTCACCAAACTCGTGTAAATGATACCGCACACCCCGATACGGAGCCAAGAAGCCGGGACCGTTTGTGTAGCCGGCATCGCAGAGGTAATAGTTCCCTGTAATTGCGACAGACCCCCCCACAAAAAGACCAATAAAAAATAAAATTAATATATAATTCAGACATAAATAATGAATAAAAATTTTTTCGACAAGTAAGGAATTACTATTACAATGTTACATAAATATATTCAACACTAACCAGTTGGTACACGAAGACCCCCCGCTCGGTGAACGGCGTCTCGTAAAACCCTATTATCTATCGCAGAACCTTCCCAACCGGTCAATACGTATGAAAAATTCATATCTTGCGTGCAAGCCCCAAGCACATTAACAGAAACAAAATTTTTTCTGTTTCGATATCGTGGGTATAGTCGTACAGGAACACCCACGGGAACATAGGTTCCATCCAACGCTCCTAAGCGTCCCTGTGATTCAATGAACACCAAAATCAAATTGTATACTTTATTGTAAGTAGTTGAATTGAAGGTTTAGTTCAGGAGAAATGCAGTACAATAGTGTCCTCACCTTAAACCATCTCCATCTCCAATCTGTGCATGAATCGGTTATCGGGCTACTTTCAGCAAAGAGGATGGGGTGCAAGCACAGGACGGCTTTTAGTACATTGTGGAAGAATTTGCTTATTGTTTGACCAAATCGTTTAAAATCAAATTTAACAACACGATTTTTTTTTATGGTGAGCTAGCACACTTAGAAAAATTGCTACTTGTTCACTTATTTGAATATCTCTGGTGTTCCGTAGGCCCCCAATATGTTCCACCAAGTAGCATAAACGCCCAAAGCAGATTCGATCTATGCGAAGTTGTTCAATGCATGTTCTGTCACTTATTTCTACCAACAATTTGATATGCTCAATTTGAGACGGAAGACGGTTAGACATACTATAGGATGCTCTTCTAAGCCGACGTCTAACTCTACGATGTTGTCTTGGTTGTACTACCAGCTTAATGTAAACGTACGCAAGCAGAAGACACAAATTACGTAGATTTATTAAGTCCTCAACGAACAACAGTACTAGCGCCTCTTCCGATTCTATGTCCATGGTTATTCTGATGATGTAAACAAAAATACATACTTGGCCATGAATGAGTTAAGTGAGAGAAGACAACTGTTTTTAATCTTTCCTACACTGTAAATTAAACGGTCTACCAAAGTGTGCTAAAAATTGAAGTCAAGTTTACTGAACATTAGTAATATCTTTCCACCAAAGCACAAATCAGTCACGCATAAATTTCCTTTAACACTTGTTCTTATGTGTATAGAAAAGTTTACAACATGTGATCCCTAAATGTCAGCCATTGAAAAAACAGAGGAATCGAAATATGAACTCAACATATATTGTAAATAACAACAATCAGTGACAATCCGTAGAACAAGTATGTCATCAATTTTTCCATGAGAAGCAACCAAGTGACATTAAAAAAAAAATGAACACAGCCCAAGCACCTACAACATATAAAACACTACCTATTTTCGAGAATATCTTTGAAAAAAAAATAAAAATAAAAATCAACAATGCTTGGTTCAAGGAAAGCGTTAAAGTGGTGTGACTTTTATGGAGCCGAAAATATAATTTTAAGAAAATAATCGGCTAGGGTTAACCGCCGAAATTGAAAAGGTACAATCAAAGTGGTGGTTTCAAGTTTCATGTACCTGTGACGGGAAAGATTACGATGTCAACTACTTCACTGCAGTGCTTTGAAGTATGAAGCACGTTCGTCAATGTTTCTGCGGACCCAAAAATGTGGATGTTTAGGGTTTAAGAACAACAACATCTGAAACGAGAGGAAAAGCTATGGCAAACAAAAAAATAAGTCAGTCGTCATCGTTATTGATTATTGTAGTAGCACAATCTTACAGAGCACACTCGCCGACACCTTGTTGAATTTTTCGCCTCTTCTGCACCTCCAGATCTGGTTTCACACGACGATGCCTTATATAATGTGGCATTGTGTAATTATTGGGTCACTCAAGGGTAATTCGGTACCAAATGTCAAAAGAGACAAAAGAGACATTTATTTCTGTGTACTGTGGGGATAAAAAATATCACATGGCCGAGTTGAGATTATTTAATAGCCGAAAACGCAGACTAATGTCATTTAATCCCGGGCTCCGCGTAATCCGCTTGTAAGCATGGACTAACAACATAATCCTATCCTATCTAGTTTTTCAAATACGCCCTCACTGTATTGATATAACCATCTACCACTATCTACTTTCATTCAATTCTTCACCACCAATTCAACACATTTACACTCTGCCATAGTTTATTCTCATTTCTCAGTCCCTGTTTCTCCATTCTTTGACAGTAATTCTTGAAGATTATGGTAAATCTTCAATATCCATTCATGCACTAGTTTTAAATTTCCAATTTCATAATTTGACATAGCTTTTTAGAAAGAGATTCAAGCGCTACCAATTGTAGCTGTGAAGGAATGTTTTATTTATACAGAGTAGTGCAACACATTTTTTTTTCCGCAACGACAACAAAGCAATTTATAACTCAAGAAAATAGTCTTACAACAACGACCAACTAACTACTTGGAAAAGGGTCTCACCCTAACAACATAGTACAATGAGGACCCTAACCGGGGGACATCACAGATTGCCCCCCTCCACAACCACTTTGGCTACCCTATCACTAAAAACAATAAGGTTTGGAACATGGATAAAATCATAGCAAACCAAATTACAAGCTAAGTTATGAATATTCCTCGGAATTGTGTTGATGTTGTGTTGGTCAGTTGATTCCAAGAGTAGGTTCTGTAGTTTTGATGGGTCTTTAACACAGCACTTGAAACCCTTGAGTCCCTGTAGTGATGCAATTTCTAGCCCCCATCTAACACAAACTGATAATATGTAAATAGTAAGATTATAAACCAAATTAGTCACCTTTCATTTGTATCTTTATCTCTACTTGATGCAATTTCTAGCCCCATCTACCACAAACTGATAATATGTTAATAGTAAGAATATAAACCAAATTAGTCACCTTTCATTTGTATCTTTATCTCTACTTCTTATCTCTGATGGAGAAAATAGGAACTTGCATCTCCGTTTATTAGGAACAATGAGTTTTATTTCCTTGACTGAGCTTCAAACTAATGCATAAAGAGATGACTTCAAGCTCCAAGAATGTTCAACACCTATCAGGAATGAAACAAGAAATTAGAATAACTAAGAACATTATGAAGAATTTTTTACTTCATTGAAATTAACTTACTTTCATGAGTAAGAGGCAGTCTTTAATAAAAAAAATGTTTTGAGATCAAGACAACCTAGATCAATACACTTTGATATCTGAAGTTGAAGTGATTGAAAACATAAATATTAAAAATACACTACATAGTAATAAATTTTATTACTTCAATTTTTTTTTTTTTATATATTTAATATTAGCATTAGTTTATAAATATTTATTTATATTTGTTTTTGGAATATACAATTATTTTTATTGTATTTTTTCAGGTACAATAATTGATAAAGCATGGATACATATAAAAAATAGGATGTCTAAAGAGTACAAGCATGGTATGAGAGATTTTATTAAGCACTGCAGGCCTTTTGTAAATAAGAAAGGCTTGATTAAATTCCCGTGGAACAAATTCTTAAATGTGCAATCTCAAAGTTTAGAAGCCGTTAAGATTTACATTGAGAGAATTGGATTTGATGCATCATATTATACATGGATTCACCATGAAGAATGTTTACCAAGATATCAAGATCGTTCGTCGAATTTAGACTTTGAGATGATGGATGAAACGGAGACTATGATGGCAGACTTGAACCCAGAGGAGTATGGGATGGAGGGCCCTGATGAGCAATATCATAACTTGTATGATGCTATGAACACTAAATTGTATCAAGTTGTTTCATCATTTTCTTCTCTTAATTTCCTAGTAAAGCTGATGAATATCAAGGTGAACGAAAAATGGAAAAATAAATCATTTGATGAGTTACTTAAGTTGCTTAAACTTGCATTTCCCTCAATGGAACTAGTCAACTCATATTATGAAGCTAAGAAGTTGTTAGCGAGCTTGGGCTTCGAGAGTATACATGTCTGCAAGTATGGTTGTGCACTATTTTGGTGAGAGTATGTTGACAGCAAGAATGTCCAGTATGTGGGGAGTCACGCTGGAGAGAGAACAGTGTAACATGTTCTAGAAGCAAACTTTCACATAATAGTGTACGTTATTTTTTTTTTATCATCCCACATTGAAAAGATTATTCGCAATGGAAGAGACGACAAACCTTTATGCGTTGGCATAGTATTGAGTATAATAAAGATGTTATGACTCATCCAAGAGATAGCAAAGGCTATATGGAAGAGACGACAAAACTTATCGTTGGCATAGTATTGATTGATCAAGGGTACATGGCTTGTCCCATGTGCAATGACGAAACTACTTCGCAGTGCATCATGGGCAAGACAGTGTAATTGGGCTACAAAAAGTACGTTCCGGTAAACCATAGATGGAGAAAATTGCGTGACTTTGATGGTCAAATCAAATTTCGAGGCCCTCCAAGCAAGAAATCAGGGACATATATTGATGTAGTTGAATCGAGTTAGGCCAAAGATACTCGGGAAGCATAAGAAGTACAGTGGTGCAAACATAAAAAAGCATGCAGATGAGTTAAACTGGAAAAAAAGAAGTACTTTTTTTTAGCTTTCTTATTGGTCTACTAATAAATTGAAGCACAACATTGATATGATGCATGTAGAAAAGAATGTATGCGACAGTCTCCTCGGGACAATCCTGGATGATCCACATAAATCAAAAGATACTCCTAAATCTAGGAGAGATTTAGTGAACATGAATATTAGACTAGAGTTGCATCTTTACTCTGATAAGGGTAAGATAATGAAACCAGGGACTCGTTATACACTTCCGCTGACTAAAAGGATTTCATTTTGCAACTGGATACAATCTGTGAGATTTTCAATGGATTTGCATCAAACCTAAGAAGATGTGTAACTCCCAACGAGGGCCGCTTAACAAGATTAAAATCTCATGATTGTCATGTCATAATGCAGAGATTGTTACCTGTAGCAGTCCGTGCATACTTGGATAAGGATATCGCCGATGCAATCATAAAAGTTGTGTAACTTCTTCAAAATAATGTGTTCCAAAAGTCTCAATGTCAGTGACCTTATCTCAGCACAGTCTGATGTGATTATGATCTTGTGCAAATTGCAAAGGATATCTCCCCTTGTATTTTTTGATGTAATGGTTAATTTGGTAATGCATCTTCGTGATGAGGCAATTTTAGTAGACCTGAACACCTAAGATGGATGTTTTGAATTGAGAGATATTTAAAGAAACTGAAAGGATATGTTTGAAACCCAGCTAAACCACAAGGTTCAATCGTTGAGGCGTATATATCAAAAGAGACAATAACATTTTGTGCACGTTATTTCAATGACCTGGAGACAAAGTTCAATCGACCCCATAGAAATCCAATATGTGATATGACAGCACAACTTTCAGTATTCAGATCACAATGCATTCCTATTGAAGGTCGTAAGAGTGTGGCTCTGGACCAGGAGAAGCATAAACATTCACAATTTTACAAACTCAATAATTGTCTTGAAATAGAGTCATTTGTTCAGTAAGAATTTTCATTTCCTTAATGTTTATTGTGTATACGTAACATTCCTGCCATTGTGACTTATTGATTTCCTTTATGACATGGAGCATAAGCAAGCACTGATGGAAAGTGGCAATATAGACTTGGAATTTTAGCACCAACAACGGTTCTCAGATTGGTTCTGCAAAAAGGTGAGTCCTAATTACAAATCATCACTCTTCTTATCAGTATGCCAAGAAATCACCTTAGTAATTCCTTCTATAAGAACATATAAAGAACTAAGTTACTATAAGTTCATTCACTATACTAGCATAACGACATACTAATTCTATTAAATAAAAACTATCAAGCAACATAAAGATTATATGTTATCTGTACTGAAGATGACTAAAACTCTCTAAAGCAGGAGAACAATTTAGTACAAAAAAACACCATATGCGTCAAGAATCAACATAAGATATTTGTTGCAAAATGCCTCTTTTTACAAAATTTGAATGATACTGATTTTTTTTATTTAATTAATAAAACTAAAGAGTTTCTAGATCAACAAATATGGATCGAAAATTGCAACAGACCATATATCTAAAACAAAGCAAGTAATATATTTTCATTATGGGGGAACAAAACAACTAAAATATCAAAACTTTAGTTGATTAATCCTCTTTGTTTCTGTCGGCGAATGGAGGCGATGTCTTGGCCATGTGGGTTTTGAGGAGTGTTTCACAATTTGGGGATTGCTTCATTATATTTGAGGAGTGGGTTTTGAGGAGTGTTTCACAATTCTGGGGAAGGTGGCGGCATCAGTTATGCCGACGACGGCGACATGACGGCGGCTTGTTGTGGTGGTCGGATTCATCTTCTTTTCGGACGTGAATTGTCTGCGGGAGGAGAAATAAGATAGAAAGAGAGAGAGGAGAGAGGAGAGAGGAAAGTAGGTTTGTTTTATGAGTGGGCCCACTGAATTTGTGGTTTGGTGAAATTACACAATTGCCCTCTCAGCTATTTATTTGTTCATGGGGTAATTATATAACTAGTACTAATGCCGTGCGATGCACGAGTAAGAGATATTCTTTAATACTAGTGCGTACCCCGTGCGATGCACGGGTAAACAATATTAAATAACAATTATAAATGGGTTTCGTGTTCGAGTCCCGTAAGTGAGGAATCACTATTGATATCTTTTTTAAAGAGAATTATGATGTCACGTGTGAAAATTTGAGTACACAAGGTTTGAAAAATTATTATTATTATTATTATTATTATTATTATTATTATTATTATTACTATTATTATTATTATTATTATTATTATTATTATTATTATTATTATTATTATTATTACACTGAGTAATCCGTGCTATGCACACATATAATAATTTATGGAATTTATATATTTATTTATTTTTATATAGCGAAGCCTGTCTATTTTTTTTTAAAAAAAATTTGAAGCCCAATTATGTTCCACAATATAATGTACTCAACTAAACTGGTCCAACTACTATGAAGGATACCCCTTTTTTCCTTGGGTTGCTGAAAGCAGAGTCGGGACAAACTTAACGGGCCAATAACATATTATTGAATTGACCATAAAGCCCAACCATGAAAGCAGACCGAATCATTAAGTGCGACCCAACATCTCAACCCGTTATGGCTTAAAAGAATGGATCAGACAGTCTGAATTAGTCAACCGATATCTAACGGTCAGAAATCAAAGATGCCATCTAAAAAAGTTAGAAATATCCAAATTATTAGGGTTATGTCATTACTTCTCCTCCTCCCACCGTTTTCCTTCTCTATTCTCTCTCTTATATCACTTATAGAAACTTGATAAAATATTCTTTCCAATTTTCACAAAAATGCTCTATTTTTTAAATAATCAATCATATCTATTGCGAGTCGATTTCTTATGTTAGATAGATAGATATTATATCTTGTCTTTATGTTTAGAAAGATGCCTCTATTATTTTATTTCTTTTGATTGTCATATTTTTTGTGTGTTCTAAGATTTTATGTTTGCTTTTTGGTCGAAACCGATGAAAAACTGACTCTGTTATTACTATTTCGACCATTTCAAAAGCTTTTCTTTTGAATATCGAGACTTATTTAATGTGTTGTTCAATTATTTTGATTCATATTGCTCTTTTTTTGTAGATTTTAGAAATTTCGTAAGTTTAATGGACGGATCTGGAATAATTTTTCAATTTTTGGTCGAAATCCGAATTTTATTCAGTCCAAAAAAATGAATACCGGAAATGAAGTCTCATTTTCTATTTGAATGTCTATTTGTTTTAAAAAATGTTACAAATCTTAGTCGGTTATATAAATTTTGACTGTATTTTGAAATTTAATTTAAAATAAGGGTCTTAATCCTAAAAATGTGTTCAAATCTTTTGTGATTGAACAAATCCCACATTTTAAGGGCGACATTTAATGCTGCCCGATTTTTTTGTAAGAAAAAGAAAAGTTGCCAAAAGTGGCATGTAATTAATGCAGATAGGATTTTGACCAAAATTTGACTTACTATTTTTGAAAAATGTTAATTCTTATTATATACATATAGACTTAGAAATTAAAATTTCTCATTAAATAATATTTATAAATTAAAAATATGGAATCAATATTACATTTTACATATATTAATCTATTGAAAATGTTATATAAAATTTAAAATTGTGCAAAAGTACATAAAACATGTCTATTTAAAATTAGTACACAACTCGTACGGTGCATATAACTGATAATAAATTACATTACACTCATTCAAAATAAGTGTAATTTTTAAAGATTTTATTCAGAAATTCGATTTAATTACAATGTGATTCCATAGAATAAATATTTTAGTAAAATTTTATCGTATATTCAAACATCTATGTGAACAATAAGTATAATTATAAATCTTATAGTATTCCATTAATTAGATGGTTTTATTTTTGTATAAAAATTCAAATCAAAATATTGAAGTGGTTGAGTAATTTATTAAACTATGAATAATTGACTATTTACGTCAAAGTTAATGTTCACTTATAAGTTATGAATAATTACTTATTTGACTTATGAATTTGGAATCCAAATTTGGACTACACAACAAATTCCCTTATATATTTGATATATGAATATTATATATATATATATATATATATATATATATATATATATATATATAATCTCGCAATTTTGTAGAGTTGTTGTCGATTACCTTATCATTCAAATTTATCAATTAATTTTCTAGAATTAAATTACGGATTTTTAATTTTATTAACCAATATTTTTTCAAATCTTATGGCAAGTTATTATTGTAATATGCTAAAATTTAAGAATTATATCACCTTGACTTTACAACAAATCAGTCTAAAATTTGGCTTTCATACTCCTACCAAATAAAATTCATACCACTTATTTTGTTTAAAAGATTTCCAAATACACTTTTATCCCTACCAAATAACTATATTTCATGTATGATAAATTAATTTATGTAAATGTTCTTTTCTTACTAAACTAATAATTCATATATTAATTTAGAAGATGACTCGTTACTTTATCAATTCAATGTCACATATACTTGATGATTGAAAAATTTATTTATATATATTTTATATTTTCTTAAATAAAATTTTCAAATAGATTACTGTAATATAAATTTTATCAATGTAAATTTATAATTTATTTTATAAGATAATCCTACCCTTATTTATTTTATTTAAAATATTATCAATTAACAAAACTTAATTATTTATATTTCATGTCTAAAAATAATTATCTATTCCGCCATGTGCTATTATTTGAAAGCTTATATATATTTATTTTCTTTTGGTCTTTATCAAACTTAGAGTTTATTATTTAATTATTCTTACATTAGTGTCTCATACGATTTATGTATTGGTCCAACTATTTGAAAAGAACAACATTTATTTTGTAAACAAAAGGTGAAGTTCTCATATTGTTTAGCGAATAACAATTAGCAATTAGAGAATAACAATTAGCAATTGAAAGATATTATGTTTTTTATTCACATGAAAAATAATATCAACTAAAAGAAAAATGACAATTTCCAAGCCTATTAAATATAATTACATCCGTTACTTATTTATTTATTACATGATTGCTCACTTTTGTTTAATGTTTGTCACTTGTGGTTCATTAAATGATACTCTACAATTATTTATAATAACATCAATGCAATTATCGTTTGAATAACAATTTATTGCACTTAATAAGAAAGTTTCAATCACGTGTGTTTTAATGTAATGCTGCCGGCGTGTTTTGAGGGGGGATAAAACAAATTTGCTATTAATAAAAAGTAATTAATGCTAATCCATTTGACTATTAATTTGACTTGCCATTTTTAAAAAATGGTAATTCTTATTATATATATATATATATATATATATGTGTGTGTGTGTGTGTATATATATATATATATATAAAATAATAATATAACTTTATGTGTATATATATATATAAAATATAACTTTATGAGTGTTATAACTAATAATAATGAAACTATATGAAATTAAATTTTAGAATAAAATAATATTTAAGTATTATGATGAATAATAATAAGTAAAATTATTATCTTTTTATCAAAAAATAAATATATGTTAATATTATTTATATTAATATAAATGGATAAACGTGCTAATACATTGTTAAAATTAAAAAATGGTTTTAAATACAAATCCGCTCGTGCATCGCACGAGATGCTTACTAGTATATTAAGAAAGTGAAGTAGAATAAATATATAATTAACAAAATGAAAAAAAATATGGATATCTAATGAATTCAAGTTATTGTAATATATGTTAGAAAGTAATTCAAAATATTTATAATATGCATTATTGTAAATTATAAAATAAGTTAATTAATTAATTTTTTTTTCGAATGCGTAAATAATGATTATTACATTTTATAAGTTATGAGTAAGAGAATGAAGAGATGTATTTTTAGTGATTATTTTCTGAATATATTAAAAGTACAAAAGTTTTAAAAAAAATTAATATTGAATTAAAGAATTATAATTGAACAATTAAGATATTTTTCTCTATTATTGTACTTGTAATCTATTTAGCTGGTCTTCGAAGTTTTCTTTTTTCTTATTTTGTTTTTATTTATAGATACTAGGTTTGCTATAATCCCCATTCAGTTCTAAAAAAGTGTACACATTAGCGTGTGGATGCGACAAGTTTCTCCAGCTATACGCAGGGTGTACTGTTAATGGAATTTGTTTCATGACACATGATCGTGATATTCACCAGCTAACGCAAAATAGTGGTGTATCTGTATCTGGCCTGGGCGGTGAGATATATTATGGAATTCTGCATGAAATTTTAGAACTTCATTTTACTGATCGATTACCAGTTGTTTTATTTCGGTGCAAATGGTATAAATCTGATAGGCGACATATTTTGCAAGAGAAAAAGAGTCTGCTTTATTTCTTGTAATTGCATTTCATTTATAAACATTGACATTGTAGTGCCCTGTTCGAATAAGAAGAGTCTGCTTTATTTCTTGTAATTGCATTTCATTTATTTTATTTTATTGCTTGAAAAAATTTCTCTAATAAGCTTATAATGATTCATTGGATGTTCTTGTCTATTTAATCTAATAATTTAAATAACGTTTATAGATGTTCTCGTCTACTTAAATTGTTTCCAAATTTTATTAAATTCCTTCGTCAATCGAAAATCGTTTGCAATCCTTTGGTGCAATCGCGACTTCTTTTCGAGCCTTTTTCAAGCAAGACTTGAGATTTGTACTCAGCTCGTTTTGCTCAATTTTCGGCCTTGTTATTTATTTGTTTTCGGCCCATTCTTTTCTTTCCTTTTCGACTCCCCAACAAAC